TGGATGGAGAGGATAACGATCGAGGAGAGAACAAACAAACCCAACCATGGAGGTTCAGATATGGATGGAGAGGAGAAAACAGCCCAGAACGATCAAGGAGAGAACGAACGAAACCAAGAACAGAGATTCAGATATGGATGGAGAGGAGAACGATCGAGGAGACGAACGAACGAACCCAAGAACAGAGATTAAGATATGGATGGAGAGGAGAAAACAGCTCAGAACGATCGAGGAGAGAACGAACGAAACCAAGAACGGAGATTCAGATATGGATGGAGAGGAGAACGATCGAGGAGAGAACGAACGAACCCAAGAACAGAGATTCAGATATGGATGGAGAGGAGAACGATCGAGGAGAGAGAACGAATGAACCCAAGAACAGAGATTAAGATATGGATGGAGAGGAGAAAACAGCTCAGAACGATCGAGGAGAGAATGAATGAACCCAAGAACGGAGATTCAGATATGGATGGAGAGGAGAACGATCGAGGAGAGAATGAACAAACCCAACCATGGAGGTTCAGATATGGATGGAGAGGAGAAAACAGCCCAGAACGATCAAGGAGAGAACGAACGAACCCAAGAACAGAGATTCAGATATGGATGGAGAGGAGAAAACAGCCCAGAACGATCGAGGAGAGAACAAACAAACCCAACCAAGGAGGTTCAGATATGGATGGAGAGGAGAAAACAGCCCAGAACGATCGAGAGAACGAACAAACCCAAGGACTGAGATTCAGATATGGATGGAGAGGAGAACGATCGAGGAGAGAACGAACGAACCCAAGAACAGAGATTCAGATATGGATGGAGAGGAGAACGATCGAGGAGAGAACAAATGAACCCAAGAACAGAGATTCAGATATGGATGGAGAGGAGAAAACAGCTCAGAACGATCGAGGAGAGAACGAACGAAACCAAGATCGGAGATTCAGATATGGATGGAGAGGAGAACGATCGAGGAGAGAATGAACAAACCCAACCATGGAGGTTCAGATATGGATGGAGAGGAGAAAACAGCCCAGAACGATCAAGGAGAGAACGAATGAACCCAAGAACAGAGATTCAGATATGGATGGAGAGGAGAACGATCGAGGAGAGAACAAACAAACCCAAGGACTGAGATTCAGATATGGATGGAGAGGAGAACGATCGAGGAGAGAACGAACAAACCCAACCATGGAGGTTCAGATATGTATGGAGAGGAGAAAACAGCCCAGAACGATCGAGAGAACGAACAAACCCAAAGACTGAGATTCAGATATGGATGGAGAGGATAACGATCGAGGAGAGAACGAACCCAAGAACAGAGATTCAGATATGGATGGAGAGGAGAACGATCGAGGAGAGAACGAATGAACCCAAGAACAGAGATTCAGATATGGATGGAGAGGAGAAAACAGCTCAGAACGATCGAGGAGAGAACGAATGAAACCAAGATCGGAGATTCAGATATGGATGGAGAGGAGAACGATCGAGGAGAGAATGAACAAACCCAACCATGGAGGTTCAGATATGGATGGAGAGGAGAAAACAGCCCAGAACGATCAAGGAGAGAACGAACGAAACCAAGAACAGAGATTCAGATATGGATGGAGAGGAGAACGATCGAGGAGAGAACGAACAAACCCAAGGACTGAGATTCAGATATGGATGGAGAGGAGAACGATCGAGGAGAGAACGAACAAACCCAAGGACTGAGATTCAGATATGTATGGAGAGGAGAGCGATCCTCGGGGACACACATTATGTATGGAGAGGAGAGCGATCCTCGGGGACACACATTATGTATGGAGAGGAGAGCGATCCTCGGGGACACACATTATGTATGGAGAGGAGAGCGATCCTCGGGGACACACATTATGTATGGAGAGGAGAGCGATCCTCGGGGACACACATTATGTATGGAGAGGAGAGCGATCCTCGGGGACACACATTATGTATGGAGAGGAGAGCGATCCTCGGGGGACACACATTATGTATGGAGAGGAGAGCGATCCTCGGGGACACACATTATGTATGGAGAGGAGAGCGATCCTCGGGGACACACATTATGTATGGAGAGGAGAGCGATCCTCGGGGACACACATTATGCTCGGGGCTGCGAGGAGTTTTCATCCACATAACTAGTAACATAATAAACAGGAACAACAATAATAGAAGACGAGGAACAAATAATTCTGAACCTGCCGATGACAATAATAATAATAATAATATATGTAGAAGAAATCCATGAAAAACATACAAAGAAATAATAATGTATATTTGTGAAAACCACGAAACAGAATTATGATTATAATTTCATATTAATGATGTAGAAGACAATGAAAAATAATAATTATTAATATTATTGTTTAAAATGCCATGAAAAATAATAAACAGAAGAAAAACAAATGAAATACAAGGAAAAAAATAATTATGAACCTGCAGATGACAATAATAAGGGGGGATGGCAGTTTGGCATCTTTGCCCGAGCTTTGTTGGATGACCTTTTCCTGGACACTGGATGACCTTTTCCTGGACACTGGATGACCTTGCCCCAGACGCCGGATGACATTTTCCTGGACGCCGGATGAACTTGCCCCAGACGCCGGATGACCTTTTCCTGGACACCGGATGACCTTTCCTGGACACCGGATGCCCTTGCCCCGGATGCCGGATGCCCTTTTCCTGGACACCAGATGAACTTGCCCCAGACGCCGGATGACCTTTTCCTGGACACCGGATGCCCTTTTCCTGGACACCAGATGAACTTGCCCCAGACGCCGGATGACCTTTTCCTGGACGCCGGATGACCTTTTCCTGGACGCCGGATGACCTTTTCCTAGACACTGCATGACCTTGCCCCGGACACCGGATGTATGGGATGCAGAAATCTCACCTCTATCCTGGGACTGGAGTGTGTGTATTCGGTCTGTACAGGACGATCTTCTCTTCATCATGGTGATCCGCCTGCTTCAGAGTGGGGGGAGGGATTCGGACAGTTGGGCTCCAGTGATCATCCCCTTTACATCCGGGTGATATCCCCTCCATCTGGTGTCTGAGCGCAGGAGGAGAGTCTTGGTCGTTGTCCTGCGGACGTTCGGCTGCTCGATCTATGAACCACAATTGGCGCTCTCCCGGATCTCAGTCCCGGATCTCAGTCCCGGATCTCAGTCCCGGATCTCAGTCCCGGATCTCAGTCCCGGATCTCAGTCCCGGATATTCCCGGCCAGAAATATTCGTGGATAAAATCCTCCGACTACAAAGGATGTCTGAGGGCCGGAGACGGTTCCTTCTGTCCTGAGAGATTTCCAAGAGCAGCTTTGTTTCTGTGGTGCCCCACAAGGACGCTGCACCCCATGCCCCTTGCACCCCACGAGGACCCTACACCCCACGACACTTGCACCCCACAAGGACCCTATACCCCACGTCACTTGCACCCCACAAGGACCCTACACCCCACATCACTTGCACCCAACGAGGACGCTGCACCCCACATCACTTGCACCCCACGAGGACCCTACACCCCACGTCCCTTGCACCCCATGAAGACGCTACACCCCACGTCCCTTGCACCCCAAAAGGAACCTACACCCCACGTCACTTGCACCCCACAAGGACCCTACACCCCCCGTCACTTGCACCCCCAAGGACCCTACACCCCTCGTCACTTGCACCCCACAAGGACCCTACACCCCACGTCACTTGCACCCCCAAGGACCCTACACCCCACGTCACTTGCACCCCCAAGGACCCTACACCCCACGACACTTGCACCCCACAAGGACCCTATACCCCACGTCACTTGCACCCCACAAGGACCCTACACCCCACATCACTTGCACCCCACGAGGACACTACACCCCACATCACTTGCACCCCACGAGGACACTACACCCCACATCACTTGCACCCCACAAGGACCCTACACCCCACATCACTTGCACCCCACAAGGACCCTACACCCCACATCACTTGCACCCCACGAGGACACTACACCCCACATCACTTGCACCCCACGAGGACCCTACACCCCACATCACTTGCACCCCACGAGGACCCTACACCCCACGTCCCTTGCACCCCACGAGGACACTACACCCCACATCACTTGCACCCCACAAGGACCCTACACCCCACATCACTTGCACCCCACAAGGACCCTACACCCCACATCACTTGCACCCCACGAGGACACTACACCCCACATCACTTGCACCCCACGAGGACACTACACCCCACATCACTTGCACCCCACGAGGACACTACACCCCACATCACTTGCACCCCGCGAGGATCCTACACCCCACGTCACTTGCACCCCGCGAGGACCCTACACCTCACTTGCACCCCACGAGGACCCTACACACCATGCCCCTTGCACCCCACGAGGACACTACAACCGTCCCTTGCACCCCACGAGGACCCTACACCCCACGTCACTTGCACCCCAGTCAGGAAAGGAGGTGGAGCTCTAATGAATGAAAGGGGCAGGGCTAGGGACAGTCAAGCTGGAGAGGAAAGGGCTAGATGATGCAGGATGTCCTCCAGCCAGGAAATGAGGTGGGGCTCTAATGAATGTTTTTGTTTGTAAACAAAAAGCCTGGATTCCCCCTCCTGTATACCGGACCCCCATCGAGAGTAAGAGTCTGGTATGGATTAGAAGGGAAACCCCAGAAACACTGGAGTGGGGTTCCTCACTACATTCTTCAAGTGCCGTGGATTAGAAGGGGGACCCCAGAAACAAGACTGCGCCTCTCCTCCTCCTAATCTACATGACCACATGCCCCCAACATGGGGGGGGTCCCTGCTGGCGGACGCATGATAGAACAATAATTCCTGGCAAGGCGCTGAATGTAAACAAAGGGGGGGGGGGGATTGCGGAGGATAACAGGCACTGCGGCAGGGAGATTTGGGAGGGTCAGAGGTCAGTGTTTGGGGGGGGCGGAGTTCCACATTCTGGGGTCTCTCAGTAACTTGTCACCCCCTGTCCAGGCAGAATTTGGGGCGGAGTCAATATGAGAATGGCGGCGTACTTGGCGGTGGCGCTGGTTGTGCTGAGTGTCATCGTGGAGGCGGAGCGTTCCACCAACAGAGAGGTGAGTGAAAAACCTTCTAAAATTTACTGACATATATTCATTGGGGTGCTGTGTGTATGAAGTGGGGTGCAGAGCACCCCCTGTCTGCTGTGTGTGTATGAAGTGGGGTGCAGAGCGCCCCCTGTCTGCTGTGTGTGTATGAAGTGGGGTGCAGAGCAACCCCTGTCTGCTGTGTGTATGAAGTGGGGTGCAGAGCACCCCCTGTCTGCTGTGTGTGTATGAAGTGGGGTGCAGAGCACCCCCTGTCTGCTGTGTGTGTATGAAGTGGGGTGCAGAGCACCCCCTGTCTGCTGTGTGTGTATGAAGTGGGGTGCAGAACTCCCCATTTGCTGTGTGTATGCAGTGGGATACGTAGCACCCCTTGTTTGCTGTGCGTATGATGTGGGGTACTGAGCGCTCCGTTTGCTGTATGAAGTGGGGTACAGAGCACCCTGTTGGTCTTTTGTATGAAGTGGGGTACAGAGCACCCTGTTGGTCTTTTGTATGAAGTGGGGTATAGCACATCCCTGGTTTGCCATATGTATAAAGTGGGGTACAGAGCGCCCCGTTTGCTGTGTGTATGAAGTGGGAATGGAGCACTCCCGTTTGCCATATGTATAAAGTGGGGTACCCCATTTGTCATGTGTATGAAGTGGGGTATAGAGCACCCCATTTGCTGTATGAAGAGGGATACAGCACCCCCTGTTTGCTGTATGAGGTGGGGTACGAAGCACCCCCTATTTGTCTTTTGTATGAAGTAGGGTACGTCGCACTCCGTTAGCTCTGTGTATAAAGTGGGGTACAGAGGGCCCTGTTTGCTGTGTGTATGAAGGTACAGAGGGCCCCCCGTTTCCCCTGTGTATGAAGTGGGGTGCAGAGCGCCCCCTATCTGTGGTGCTGTGAGGGAGCGACATTTGAACTTCCATCCGTCCTCCTGCAGGGACTCACATTCTCACTATTCATGTCCTATAGGCTCAGAGGCCCGCCCCTGCGGAGCCCATTAGGAGGCGGGGCACTGTGAATCAGCGGGGGCGGAAGAAGACGATCTGGTCCTATAATCCCGGACACCGATCCCTGGCCTTCCTGGTAAGGACACTCAGAGAGCGCCATCTAATGATGATAGTCGGAACTGCACCACTCAGTATGGTCATGGACTCGGATTTATGGTCTGGTCATCTGACATTAACCCCCCCATTGTACAGCCATGACATCTGATTGGTGCAGAAGAAGCAGCTGTTGGCCATGGGGGAGGACTCATGGGTGGGCAATCCTTTTAACCCATTGCCCACCCATGCCATGAAATGCCCCCCCCCCCTCCCCGCTTTGTGCATTCACCATGTGCTGCAGATCGGTGGTTGTTGGTGGGGTAGGTGTGGGAGTCTCTGATCCATTCCAGGGCTGTGGATAAGGGGGTACCACCACTCCTCCTGTACGGGGCCCAGGCCAGCAGGGTAAATCAGATGTGGGCAGGGAGGGTGATTCATCCCTACATCCCATGCCCCCGCCTCCACCCCCGCAGTGCTGCTGGCTTCCCTCCTCTCCTTTCCATTGGCAGCTGCAAGGACACAATGGGATCCTTCAGGGTGGAGAGGTGGGGAAGGTCACATTTACCAGCCCCTTCCTTTCCTGAATGAGCACAGTAAGAGATTGATACCAATCATTCGCTGTGTTCGTTCCTAACTGAAGCATAGTAAACTGTGTTTTATTTGGGGGGGGGGGCTTAAATCCATTAAAGTGGGTCACCAGACAACATAAAAAATGATATCAATGATGCAGTCTGTATCTATAATATTCATTTCATTATTCCTCCTGTAATCTGTTGATCCTGCCAGGAGTTATGTTATTTTCCACTTCCTGTAATAGGGTAACAACACCGTCTGTTCTGCGGTGAATTCAGACAGCAGTGTTGTCACCCTGACAGAAAGGGGAGCTATGAAGAAATTCTTACACCGAATAGGATCATTTCCCCCATACAGGTCCCAGAGACCAGATTGTTCAGCAATATCCCCGAATGGCGTCTCGGCATCAATTCATTTCTGTGTTTTGCTCAGGTTGCAGGAGAAGTAGAAGTGGTTTCCCCTCCCCCAGTGGATTCGGTGACCGGAGTGGAGTATCGATGCCTCGGATGCTGCGGAGAGAGAGCGCTGGTTGGGGTAAGTAGCCCACTGGGGTGGAGGGATGGGGGGGGGGGGGGGGGGTGGTGTCACTGGGAAGTGGAGGTAAAAATATCTTCACTTGTAAGTTACCCATACCAGGGGCAGATACCGCGGGGTCACCGGGACAGCACAGGGTCCCAGCCCTCAGTGTACCAGCAGTAGGTGGTATACCCATACCAGGGGCAGATACAGCGGGGTCACCAGGGACAGCACAGGGTCCCAGCCCTCAATGCACCAGCAGTAGGTGGTATACCCATACCAGGGGCAGATACCGTGGGGTCACCAGGGACAGCACAGGGTCCCAGCCTTCAGTGTACCAGCAGTAGGTAGTATACCCATACCAGGGGCAGATACCGTGGGGTCACCAGGGACAGCACAGGGTCCCAGCCTTCAGTGTACCAGCAGTAGGGTAGTATACCCATACCAGGGGCAGATACCGTGGGGTCACCAGGGACAGCACAGGGTCCCAGCCCTCAATGCACCAGCAGTAGGTAGTATACCCATACCAGGGGCAGATACCGTGGGGTCACCAGGGACAGCACAGGGTCCCAGCCCTCAGTGTACCAGCAGTAGGTGGTATACCCATACCAGGGGCAGATACCGCGGGGGGACAGCACAGGGTCCCAGCCCTCAGTGTACCAGCAGTAGGTGGTATACCCATACCAGGGGCAGATACCTCGGGGTCACCAGGGACAGCACAGGGTCCCAGCCTTCAGTGCACCAGCAGTAGGTGGTATACCCATACCAGGGGCAGATACCGCGGGGACAGCACAGGGTCCCAGCCCTCAGTGTACCAGCAGTAGGTGGTATACCCATACCAGGGGCAGATACCGCGGGGTCACCAGGGACAGCACAGGGTCCCAGCCTTCAGTGCACCAGCAGTAGGTGGTATACCCATACCAGGGGCAGATACCGCGGGGACAGCACAGGGTCCCAGCCCTCAGTGTACCAGCAGTAGGTGGTATACCCATACCAGGGGCAGATACCGCAGTAGGTGGGGGTCACCGGGACAGCACAGGGTCCCAGCCCTCAATGTACCAGCAGTAGGTGGTATACCCATACCAGGGGCAGATACCGCGGGGACAGCACAGGGTCCCAGCCCTCAGTGTACCAGCAGTAGGTGGTATACCCATACCAGGGGCAGATACCGCAGGGTCACCGGGACAGCACAGGGTCCCAGCCCTCAGTGTACCAGCAGTAGGTGGTATACCCATACCAGGGGCAGATACCGCGGGGTCACCAGGGACAGCACAGGGTCCCAGCCCTCAATGTACCAGCAGTAGGTGGTATACCCATACCAGGGGCAGATACCGTGGGGTCACCAGGGACAGCACAGGGTCCCAGCCCTCAGTGTACCAGCAGTAGGTGGTATACCCATACCAGGGGCAGATACAGCGGGGTCACCGGGACAGCACAGGGTCCCAGCCTTCAGTGCACCAGCAGTAGGTGGTATACCCATACCAGGGGTAGGTTCATAGATACCGCAGGGTCATTGGCGACAGCACAGGGTCCCAGCCCTCAATGCACCAGCAGTAGGTGGTATACCCATACCAGGGGCAGATACCGTGGGGTCACCGGGGACAGCACAGGGTCCCAGCCCTCAATGCACCAGCAGTAGGTGGTATACTCATACCAGGGGCAGATACCGCGGGGTCACCGGGGACAGCACAGGGTCCCAGCCCTCAGTGCACCAGCAGTAGGTGGTATACTCATACCAGGGGCAGATACCTCGGGGTCACCGGGACAGCACAGGGTCCCAGCCCTCAGTGCACCAGCAGTAGGTGGTATACCCATACCAGGGGCAGATACCTCGGGGTCACCGCCCTGTAGTTCCACTAGAGAGAACAATCCCTTCCACAAACAGTAATCACTGCCGCCTAGTGGCCGACCTTGTAATCACAGCGTACTCTATGGGAATGGTTGTTGCGCCTCCATCGGTGTGAACGTCTTTGCTCACATATCTCTTCTCCCTCTTCAGGGTAAAAGCACCTCCAGCCCGAGGCCATCGAACAGAGTCGGTCGGATCGTCCTGCGCCCCGATGGTTTAGCTGTGATTGGAACGGAACCGAATTCTGTGAATGACCGGTGCCTGGGCTGCTGCGAGGACAATGGAGTGACTACGGTGAGACGCGGGGAATGTCACGCGCTCTGATGACCCCAGAGGCTTTTAATTATTTCTGGTGTGATGATAGTTACATGTACATTGATTCTGAAAATAGATTCCTGCTCATAAGAGCTTACAATCTAAACGTGAGAGAATGTCAGAATGTGGAGATCCGAACGCAATGCGACGATGGAGGAGACAGAGGTGCCATCTGGGGGGACTCGTGGATGGGAATCTGATTGGAGGAGGGGGGGTGGTAGACTAAAAATGAAGACTTCCCAGAGATGGACCACAACTTCCCAGCGCCATACGGAAATATCACTTACCTACAGCTCAGATTGGTGGAACCCCACACCAATGCGGTACAGTGTCGGAATACAAGGTTCATGGAGATCAAAGGGCTTCCAAGGCCACTGTGGCTTCCAAGGACTGTGAGTGAAGATGTAGTAGGTGAGACTGAAGTGCAGAAGATCAGAGACTGTACAAAAGTCCAACACGTTCCAGGAGCTGAGCGTCCTTCTTCAGGGCTCATAGATGAAATGTTTATCTGTAGAGTGAGGAGGAACTCTGAGTGTTCCTGGTGAGAGATGTTTCAGCAGCTGGTAGTTGCTGTCATTTTAACATGTTTCAGTAGCCAAGTCTTGCCCCTTTCTTAGGGCCCCCGGGACCTCTAGACTTCCCAGGTCCACAGTAGCAATACTGGACATGTCCTCCAACCAGAAGGGTACTCAGGCTCCGTCCTTTGAAGTGGCTGGTGCTGTGTCTTATCACTAGCTACCTGAGAGATAAAAGCACTATAGTCCTTGCTTGTTGCCAGTTTGTTCCTGATCAGGACTGACCTGACTAATCTTGCCTGTTGCCTGCCTTGACCTCTGCCTGGACCTGACTATTCTCTTGCCTGAGTTGAAGTCTGCCTAGACCTGACTACTCTCTTTCCACCCCTGAACTCTACCTGGATCTGACTACTCGCTTGCCTTCCCTGAACTCTGCCCAGACCTGATCGCTCCTTTGCCTGCCTTTAAGTCTGCTTGGACTTGACTACTCTCTTGCTTGCTGCCTGCATCAACTCTTGCCTGGACCTGGCTACTCTCTTGCCTGCCTTGAATTCTTCCTGGACCTGACTAGTCTCTTGCCTGCCTTGACTTCTGCCTGGATCTGAATATTCCTGTCTGCCACCTGCCTGGACCTGACTATGTTCTTGCTTTCTGTGTCAACCCCTGCCTTGACCTGATTACTCTATTGCCTGTATTGAAGTCTGCCTGGACCTGACTACTCTCTTGCCTGCGTTGAACTCTGCCTGGACCTGACTACTCTCTTGCCTGCGTTGAACTCTGCCTGGACCTGACCACTCTCTTGCCTTCCTTGAACTCTGCCTGGACCTGACCACTCTCTTGCCTTCCTTGAACTCTGCCTGGACCTGACTACTCTCTTGCCTTCCTTGAACTCTGCCTGGACCTGACTACTCTCTTGCCTTCATTGAACTCTGCCTGGACCTGACTACTCTCTTGCCTTCCTTGAACTCTGCCTGGACCTGACCACTCTCTTGCCTTCATTGAACTCTGCCTGGACCTGACTACTCTCTTGCCTGCCTTGAAGTCTGCCTGGACCTGATTGTTTCTTTGCCTGCCTTGAAGTCCACTTAGAGTTGACTACTCTTTTGCTTGCTGCCTACATCAACTCTGCCTGGACCTGATTACTTTCTTGCCTGCTTTGACCTCTGCCTGGACCTGACTACTCTCTTGCCTGCTTTGACCTCTGCCTGGATCTGAATATTCCCGCTTTCCACCTGCCTAGATCTAGCTACATTCTTGCTTTCTGTCTGCATCAACCCCTGCCTGGACCTGACTACTCTCTTGCCTGCCTTGAGCTCTGCCTTGACCTGATTACTCTCTTGCCTGCCTTGAACTCTGCCTGGACCTGACTACTCTCTTCCCTGCCTTGAACTCTGTCTGGACCTGACTACTCTCTTGCCTGCATCAACTCTGCCTGGACCTGATTACTTTCTTGCCTGCTTTGACCTCTGCCTGGATCTGAATATTCCCGCTTTCCACCTGCCTAGATCTGACTACATTCTTGCTTTCTGTCTGCATCAACCCCTGCCTTGTCCTAATTACTCTCTTGCCTGCCTGAAGTCTGCTTGGACTTGACTACTCTCTTGCTTGCTTCCTCCATCAACTCTGCCTAGACCTGACTACTCTCTTGCCTGCCTTGAACTCTGCCTGGACCTGACTACTCTCTTGCCTGCCTTGAACTCTGCCTAGACCTGGCTACTCTCTTGCCTGCCTTGAACTCTGCCTAGACCTGGCTACTCTTTTGCCTGCCTTGAACTCTGCCTGGACCTGACTACTCTCTTGCCTGCCTTGAACTCTGGCTGGACCTGACTACTCTCTTGCCTGCCTTGAACTCTGCCTGGACCTGGCTACTCTCTTGCCTGCCTTGAACTCTGCCTGGACCTGACTACTCCCTTGTCTACTCTACTGCAGCCCTTCTGTCCCAGCAACCCATTGGTGGGGCAGGGGCCTCAACTTGCTGCCAGTTTGTAGCAAGCAAAACTGGACACCGCTAGGGATTCTGGTTCATCTCCACCATAATAAGGGCTGGTACTTAGATTCCGTGCCTTTGGTGGGCACCACTGGCATCTGCCAGGGACCACCTTATTGCCCCTCTGTGGTGAACATCTGCAGAGCAGGGAATGTATAAAATGTTTTCATTACTTTATTCATTTTCCAGGTGGTTGTGGTTGTCCTGATGGCCTTTTGCTCTGATAATACCGGGGCCCCTTTTTACCACGATGTGGTTGGTGGATCCCCTCCTGTATACATATTGGGGGGTCCTGGTTAGTCACCTGCATACAATCGGTGTCAGTGAGCAATGTTTGCAGCTCTTCGGCCCTATGTCCTGGTCTGCCCGTCCTGTGGTCGGGGGTCGGTTTGTGGCTTTGGTGTCAGGGTATGATCATTGGTCATGTTCCTCCCTCACATGTGGTCATGTGCAGTCACAGTGCGGAGGGTTTGATGTGACCACATGATAGGGATGACTTCCTCTGATGGGTGGGTGATGTTGTCTTTGGACTCCATGCCGGATCCAGATGCTGCAGATGTTATCCCGGGGCAGGACATTTGTGAACTATCTGCAGATCTCATATTTAGGGACCTCCATGCTGGAGAACGTTATTTGGGTTCTGTATTGATTTTCATTTGTTATCAGTAGAGATGAGCGAATTTCTCAAAAATTCGATTCGGCTGATTCGGCGAATTCCAGTGTGAAATTCGATTCGATGCGAATTTCTTCGCTACGAAGATGACTTATAAAAAGGGTTTCAAGGCTTCAGAGAGCCTTTAAATTAAATGCCCTTGGAGATGAGGAAAGAGAAGGAGAAGGATGAGAAGAAGGAGAAGGATGAGAAGAAGGAGAAGGAGAAGGATGAGAAGAAGGAGAAGGAGAAGGATGAGAAAGAAGGAGAAGGAGAAGGATGAGAAGAAGGAGAAGGAGAAGGATGAGAAGAAGGAGAAGGAGAAGGATGAGAAGAAGGAGAAGGAGAAGGATGAGAGAAGAAGGAGAAGGAGAAGGATGAGAAGGAGAAGGATGAGAAGAAGGAGAAGGGAAGGATGAGAAGGAGAAGGAGAAGGATGAGAGAAGGAGAAGGATGAGAAGAAGGAGAAGGAGAAGGATGAGAAGGAGAAGGATGAGAAGAAGGAGAAGGATGAGAAGGAGAAGGAGAAGGATGAGAAGAAGGAGAAGGATGAGAAGAAGGAGAAGGAGAAGGATGAGAAGATGGAGAAGGAGAAGAAGGATGAGAAGAAGGAGACGGAAGGATGAGAGAAGGAGAAGGAAGGATGAGAAGAAGGAGAAGGATGAGGAGAAGGATGAGGAGATAAGGAAGAAGGATGAGGAAGAAGGAGAAGGATGAGGAGAAGGAGAAGGATGAGGAGAAGGAGAAGGGATGAGGAGAAGGAGAAGGATGAGAAGAAGGAGAAGGATGAGAAGAAGGAGAAGGATGAGAAGAAGGAGAAGGAGAAGGATGAGAAGAAGGAGAAGGATGAGAAGAAGGAGAAGGATGAGAAGAAGGAGAAGGATGAGAAGAAGGAGAAGGAGAAGGAGAAGGATGAGAAGAAGGAAAAGGAGAAGGATGAGATGAGAGGAGATGGAGAAGGAGAAGGATGAGAAGAAGGAGAAGGAGAAGGATGAGAAGAAGGAGAAGGAGAAGGATGAGGAGAAGGAGAAGGATGAGGAGAAGGAGAAGGATGAGAAGAAGGAGAAGGAGAAGGATGAGAAGAAGAAGGAGAAGGGAGAAGGATGAGAAGAAGGAGAAGGAGAAGGATGAGAAGAAGGAGAAGGATGATGAGAAGAAGGAGAAGGATGAGAAGAAGGAGAAGAAGGATGAGAAGAAGGAGAAGGAGAAGGATGAGAAGAAGGAGAAGGATGAGAAGAAGGAGAAGGATGAGAAGAAGGGATGAGAAGAAGGATGAGAAGAAGAAGGATGAGAAGAAGGACAGTTCTGTGACAGTTTCTGTCTATTTCTGACAGTTCTGGGACATTCACTCCATACAGCTGTTTCAACCGCTGTATGGAGGGAATGTCATGGAACTGTCAGAAATAGACTATTAATGACAGTTCTGGGACTGTCCTTCCATGCAGCGTTTGAAACATTGTATGTATTTGTTTCCATAAATGGATCCATTTATGGAAACAAATAGATACAATGTTTCAACCGCTGTATGGAAGGACAGTCCAGAACTGTCATTAATAGTCTATTTCTGACAGTTCTATGACATTACCTCCATACAGCGGTTGAAAACAGCTGTATGGGAGTGAATGTCCCAGAACTGTCAGAAATAGACTATTTCTGACAGTTCTGGGACATTCCCTCCATACAGCGTGGGTTTCCGGCAAAAAGTGTATGTGCAGAGTTCCTCTATTCTGCAGATACACTTAGAGGAGCTCTGCAGATACACTTAGAGGAGCTCTGCACATACACTTTTTGCCGGCTTGGAATTATTCTTATTTTCATCCTACTTCTTCTTCTTCTTCTTCATCCTCTTCTTCTTCTTCTGAGGATGAGGATAAAGAAGAAGAAGAAGAAGAAGAAGAAGTAGGATGAAAATAAGATTAATTCCAAACAGGCCAAAAAGTGTATGTGCAGAATAGAGGAGCTCTGCACATACACTTTTTTGCCGGCTTGGAATGAAGTAGGATGAAAATAAGATTAATTCCAAACAGGCAAAAAGTGTATGTGCAGAATAATGTGTTCCTTCTGTCAGAGAAATGTCAGAAAATAGCGGAGCTCACTGCAGGACACTTTTGCCGGCTGATCGGGAAATGTTCGATTCGCGCAACCGAAGTAGGCAAAATTTCGGTTTCGCCGCGAATCGAATATTTCCTGAATTCGACTCGAATTCCGGTTCGCCTGGTTCGATTCGCTCATCTCTAGTTATCAGCCAATAAAGTGCTAAACAAGAATATACCTCGTGTGTAGAGAACCTATAATCTCTGAAGGCCATATACAGGTCACCTAGAGCAGGGCTTAAAACACTCGAGTCTAGACCTACTAGACCAGACAAAAACCTTACTCTCCAGCAGTTGCCCCACCCAACCTTGCCCAGGTCTGCCTCCAACCCCACCCTGTCCTGTCCCCCATCCCCAGCCCTGCCCCCAACCATGCCCCTTAAAGCTTAAGAAATTACCAAGGCAGTGCAGATCGGGCTTCGTGTCCCCCAAGGTGGTGAAGAGCGGGCCTCGCGTCCCCCAAGGCGGTGGAGAGTGGGCCTCACATCCCCCAAGGTGGTGGAGAGTGGACCTCGCGTCCCCCAAGGCAGTGGAGAGGGGGCCTCGCATCCCCTAAGGCGGTGGGAGAGTGGGCCTTGTGTCCCCCAAGGCGGTGGAAAGCGGGCCTCGTGTCCCCCAAGGTGGTGGAGAGTGGGCCTTGTGTCCCCCAAGGCGTTGTGGCAAGGTGCACCCACGGATGGAAAGCGGGCCTCGTGTCCCCAAGGCGGTGTAGAGCGCACCTCGTGCCCCCAAGGAGGTGGAGAGTGGACCTTGTGTCCCCCAAGGCAATGGAGAGCGGGCCTCGTGTCCCCCAAGGCGGTGTAGAGTGGACCTCGTGTCCCCCAAGGCGGTGAAGAGCGGGCCTTGTGTCCCCCAAGGCGGTGGAGAGCGGGCCTCGTGTCCCCCAAGGCAGTGTAGAGTGGACCTCGTGTCCCCCAAGGCGTGTGTTAGAGCGGGCCTCGTATCACACCCAAGGCGGTGTAGAGTGGACCTCGTGCCCCCCAAGGCGGTAGGAGAGCGGGCCTCGTGTCCCCCAAGGCAGTGTAGAGTGGACCCGTGTACCCCAAGGCAGTAGGAGAGCGGACCTCGTGTCCCCCAAGGGCGGTGGAGAGCGGACCTCGTGTCCCCCAAGGCGGTGTAGAGCGGGCCTCGTGTACCCCAAGGCAGTGTAGAGTGGGCCTCTCCTCATGTCACCCAAGCAGGCGGCAGCGAAGAAACCGGAAGTCGGAAACCATAACTCGGCTTCACAACGAGGCTTAGAGTGCTAAAGTGGAACGGCAAATCGATCCCCGGGGCCTGGGGATCGCATTGCAATTTAAGCCACCCACTTCAATTGCAAGCCACACCGCTCCATCTGTGCTTCACCACAAAGGAATTTCCCCTCGCAATTTGGTCGCGATGAGCGGACGAGTCGGAAATTTCAACCCTGACCTAGAGTTGGCTTTACGCTGTTGGTAGGCAGACCACTCCTGGCTTGGCCCCAAATGACCTTTATTTGTTTTAAAAATACATCCATAAAAAAAACTCCATGATACTCGGATGAGTCCTCCCCAAATTACAACTGTCATTGGTGGCAGGGACGTAGATAAGGAAAGGGGGTCAACTGATCCCAGAGCATCCTGCCCAAATGCCCATGGTGAGTCCAGGATGACGGCACCTTAAGGCCTTGTTTTCATAGGACATAAAGCTGGGGGCAGTTTAGAGCCATTGATTTACCCCACTGACCTCCATATCAGAGTGTCCCCTTACATCAGAGTCCCATCTGAGTGCCCATGCCCTCTTACATCAGAGTGTCCCATCATAGAGTGCCCCCTTACATCAGAGTCCCCATCTGAGTGCCCCCTTACATCAGGTGTCCCATCAGAGAGCCTCCTTACATCAGGTGTCCCATCAGAGTAGCCCCCCCCTTACATCAGGTGTCCCATCAGAGTGCCCTCCTTACATCAGAGTCCCCATCTGAGTGCCCCCTTACATCAGGAGTCCCCATCTGAGTGCCCCCTTACATCAGGTGTCCCATCAGAGTGCCCCCGTACATCAGGTGTCCCCATCATTGTGTCCCCTTTTTACATCAGGTTGTCCCCATCAGAATGCCCCCTTACATCAGGTGTGTCCCATCAGAATGTCACCCCCCCCTTACATCAGGTTGTCCCATCAAAGTGCCCCCTTACATCAGGTATCCCCATCATAAAAGTGTCCCCTTACATCGATCAGGTGTCCCATCAGAGTGCCCCCTTACATCAGGATCCCAATCAGAGTGCCCCCTTACATCTTACATCAGGTGTCCCCCATCATTGTGTCCTTTTAACATCAGGTGTCCCCATCAGAATGCCCCCTCTTACATCAGGTTATCAAAGTGCTCTACATCAGGTGTTCCCTTACATCAGGTTGTCCCCATCAGAGTGCCCCCTTACATCAGGGTGTCCCTTACATCCGGTTGTCCCCATCAGAGTGCCCCCCTTACATCAGGTGTCCCATCAGAGTGCCCCCTTACATCAGGGTTCCCCATCAGAGTGCCCCCTTACATCAGGTATCCCCATCAGAAGTGCCCCCTTACATCAGGTGTCCCCATCAGAGTGCCCCCTTACATCAGGTGTCCCCATCAGAGTGCCCCCTTACATCAGGTGTCCCCATCAGAGTGCCCCCCCTTACATCAGGTGTCCCCATCAGAGTGCCCCCTTACATCGGTGTCCCATCAGAGTGCCCCCTTACATCAGGTGTCCCCATCAGAGTGCGCCCTTACATCAGGTATCCCCATCAGAGTGCCCCTTTACATCAGGTATCCCCATCAGAGTGCCCCCCTTACATCAGGTGTCCCCATCAGAATGCCCCCTTCTATTATCAGGTGTCCCCATCAGAGTGCCCCCTTACATCAGGGTGTCCCCATCAAGAGTGCCCCCTTACATCAGGTGTCCCCATCAGAGTGCCCCCCCCTCACATCAGGTGTCCCCATCAGAGTGTCCCCTTACATCAGGTGTCCCATCAGGTATCCCCATCAGAGTGCCCCCTTAACATCAGGTGTCCCATCAGAGTGTCCCCTTACATCATCCATCAGAGTGTCCCTTCATTATGATGTCCCCATCAGAGTGCCCCCTTTACATCAGGTGTCCCCATCAGAGTGCCCCCCTTACATCAGGTGTCCCATCAGAGTGCCCCCTTACATCAGGTGTCCCCATCAGAGTGCCCCCTTACATCAGGTGTCCCATCAGAGTGCCCCCTTACATCAGGTGTCCCATCAGAGTGTCCCCTTACATCAGAGTCCCCATCTGAGTGCCCCCTTACATCAGGTGTCCCATCAGAGTGTCCCCTTACATCAGGTGTCCCATCAGAGTGCCCCCTTACATCAGGTGTCCCATCAGAGTGCCCTTTTTACATCAGGTGTCCCATCACAGAGTGGCCCCCTTTACATCATGATCATCCCAATCAGAGTGCCCCTTACATCAGATGAGTCCACCATCTGAGTGCCCCCTTACATCAGGTGTCCCATCAGAGAGCCTCCTTACCATCAGAGTGCCCCTTACAGAGTGCCCCCTTACATCAGGATTGTCCCATCAGAGTGCCCTTTTACATCATTTGTCCCACACAGTCCCTTTACATATGATCATCCCAATCAGAGTGCCCCCTTGTTGGTTACCATCAGAGTGCCCCCTTAGATTAAATCAGAGTGTCTGCATTAAATGTCTGCATGACTGCTCATGGATCAGTGGATCAGGCACTTTCAGAGACCTTGGGGGCACAGTTAAATTTTGGGTGGGCACAGCTGACCCCAGCATCCCCCTAGATCCGGCCTTGGTCAGACCTCTGCAGAGAGACCTCTGCTTCCACACAGAGTAAGATAACGTTTTCCTCATATATAAAGAATGGCAGGACCGTGATTAGCTTTTCCAATCTTCTGGGGTCAGGACAGCTCTCCTGCTCCTCCATGCCTCTGCTGCTCCTCCATGCCTCTCCTGCTCCTCCATGCCTCTCCTGCTCCTCCATGCCTCTCCTGCTCCTACATGCCTCTCCTGCTCCTCCATGCCTCTGCTGCTCCTCCATGCCTCTCCTGCTCCTCCATGCCTCTCCTGCTCCTCCACGCCTCTCCTGCTCCTCCATGCTTCTCCTGCTCCTCCATGCCTCTCCTGCTCCTCCATGCTTCTCCTGCTCCTCCATGCCTCTCCTGCTCCTCCATGCCTCTCCTGCTCCTCCATGCTTCTCCTGCTCCTCCATGCCTCTCCTGCTCCTCCATGCTTCTCCTGCTCCTCCATGCCTCTCCTGCTCCTCCATGCTTCTCCTGCTCCTCCATGCCTCTCCTGCTCCTCCATGCTTCTCCTGCTCCTCCATGCCTAGTGGTGGTGGACCAACCTGTCTACTTGGAGTTGGAATGGAGACAAGCACATGGCTGACATTTGTTGTTGTTCTCTGCAGCTCCTCCATGAATCCACATCACTCCACCATTAATGAGTTTGACTTCTTTCTCTCTGGCAGAGCGGCACCACCACCACCACCACCACTACTGCCACCACCACCAAGGCCAGGAGGGTCATGAAGATCCCGATAACGGGCAGGCAGCGGGCGTGGCAGGCACGGCGTGGAGCGCCCTATGAGAACCCAAACTGGAGATTCGAATCTTCCAGCTCCAGTGAAGAGGTGAGGGAAGGACTCATCCTTATCATGTGATCACTGTGCTAGGGGGGGTACCACCACTCCTGGGAGACCAGCCCGTTGCTTTCTTACTAGTACTGCCCAGCAAAGCTCCGAAGACTGAAACATGTGAGAGACCTCTCAGATGGGGATGGTCCAAGCCCGCATCGGTCTACTGGGTTGGGTAAAGGGGAACTCCGCCAATGTATCTGACCTCAGAGGAAGGTTTGGCTCCATTGTTCAGTCTGGAGAGTTCTGATTGGTTGTCGGTAAATGTGAAATGTGTGCCGTGTCCCCCGGAATGACCAGCTCCACCTATCCACAGATCTCCATGGTCAGACGTCCTCCACCGCGCAGCAGATTTCAGCCAATCAGAAGCAGAGGCTGCGACCATCATGGCTGCAGATCTCCACTTGGGTCAGTTGTGGATGATTCCAGCTCCAGTGAGGAGGACTGATCTGCCGGTAAGAGTGATCACATGACCCCACCACATTGCCAGCTTTCACCACATCTGCATATCATGCTCACATAACCCCACGCTGCCAGCTTTCACCACATCGGCATATCATGGTCACATGACCCCACCACACTGCCAGCTTTCACCACATCTGCATATCATGGTCACATGACCCCACACTGCCAGCTTTCACCACATCGGCATATCATGATCACATGACCCCACCACACTGCCAGCTTTCACCACATCGGCATATCATGGTCACATGACCCCACACTGCCAGCTTTCACCGCATCCGCATATCATGGTCACATGACCCCCACCACACTGCCAGCTTTCACCACATCGGCATATCATGGTCACATGACCCCACACTGCCAGCTTTCACCACATCGGCATATCATGATCACATGACCCCCACCACACTGCCAGCTTTCACCACATCGGCATATCATGGTCACATGACCCCACACTGCCAGCTTTCACCGCATCCGCATATCATGGTCACATGACCCCACCACACTGCCAGCTTTCACCACATCGGCATATCATGGTCACATGACCCCACACTGCCAGCTTTCACCACATCGGCATATCATGATCACATGACCCCACCACACTGCCAGCTTTCACCACATCGGCATATCATGGTCACATGACCCCACACTGCCAGCTTTCACCGCATCCGCATATCATGGTCACATGACCCCACCACACTGCCAGCTTTCACCACATCTGCATATCATGGTCACATGACCCCACACTGCCAGCTTTCACCGCATCCGCATATCATGGTCACATGACCCCACCACACTGCCAGCTTTCACCACATCGGCATATGATGGCCACAGGACATCACCACACTGCCAGCTTTCACCGCATCCGCATATCATGGTCACATGACCCCACCACACTGCCAGCTTTCACCACATCGGCATATCATGGTCACATGACACCACCACACTGCCAGCTTTCACCACATCGGCATATGATGGCCACAGGACATCACCACACTACCAGCTTTCACCGCATGAGCATATCATGATCACATGACCCCACCACACTGCCAGCTTTCACCGCATCGGCATATCATGGTCACATGACCCCCACACTGCCAGCTTTCACCACATCTGCATATCATGATCACATGACCACACCACACTGCCAGCTTTCACCACATCGGCATATCATGGTCACCTGACCCCACACTGCCAGCTTTCACCACATCTGCATATCATGGTCACATGACCCCACCACACTGCCAGCTTTCACCACATCGGCATATGATGGCCACAGGACATCACCACACTACCAGCTTTCACCGCATTGACATATCATGGTCACATGACACCACCACACTACCAGCTTTCACCGCATTGACATATCATAGTCACATGACCCCACCACATTGCCAACTTTTACCACACTGGCATATCATAGTCACATGACAACACTGCGCTGCCAGCTGTCACTGTATAGGCTCATGGTGGTCACATGATATCTCTATACTGCTAGTTTATCATTGGCTCCATGTGGTCACATGACGATGTTCCCGGTATTAACCCTTTCCATGCCAGATTATTGATGGATTTGTCCTGTTTGTGTCCTCTACAGATGGGAGGCCGGCGCAGATCTCTGACCGTATTCCCGGGACCGGAGGTCTTCTTCTGGTTGGACGATCGGTCGGGCTCATCGGAGGCGTCTGTCTGTCCGTCCATCACCAAGCTCATCAATATTAAGTCAGTGTAGTGGTAGCGAAGCATTATGCAAATTAGTTAGAGATAAAAGGGGCGTGTACCTCATTATCATATCTCCATGACGTCATCAATAACTCAGCAGGAGCACCAATCATGGGGGACCAACCTCATGTCATTCTGTTAGAGTGTCAGCTCTGGGGCTCAGCCTGCATTGTGTTATGGCTCTGCTGATGGGGGGCGGGGCGGGGGGAGGGGTAACTTTAATAAAGTGAAGAATTATTAATAACAATAGAATTCTGTCTCCTGTTCTGCATAAAGACATCAATAAATGCTACAATGTATCACTGTGTGTTCCATGAATAAATCCAGGAGCTCCGGCATCATTCATGGTGGAGGTGGATCTGTCTGTAGCCCAGATCGGGGTGGGGGAGGGGGGGGACAGTCCCGATTCGTAGACGATGTCCATCTCAGGTCACAAAGTTTTCATCTCTGAAAGAATAGTTTTTGTGAATAATTTTTTGGAAGATTTCTTGATAAGTTTTCAAGTGTGTAAAATCCGGGGACTTCCCTAGTCTGGCCATACATGTGTGGGAGCCAACACTCGGGGGTCACCTAGGAATGCTCCAAATATATATAATAGGAGGAGCTAATCCCGGGAAGGGATGAATCCAACACTCGGGGGTCACCTAGGAATGCTCCAAATATATAATAGGAGGAGCTAATCCCGGGAAGGGATGAATCCAACACTCGGGGGTCACCTAGGAATGTTCCCAATATATAATAGGAGGAGCTAATCCCGGGAAGGGATGAATCCAACACTCGGGGGTCGCCTAGGAATGCTCCAAATATATAATAGGAGGAGCTAATCCCGGGAAGGGATGAATCCAACACTCGGGGGTCGCCTAGGAATGCTCCAAATATATAATAGGAGGAGCTAATCCCGGGAAGGGATGAATCCAACACTCGGGGGTCACCTAGGAATGCTCCAAATATATAATAGGAGGAGCTAATCCCGGGAAGGGATGAATCCAACACTCGGGGGTCGCCTAGGAATGCTCCCAATATATAATAGGAGGAGCTAATCCCGGGAAGGGATGAATCCAACACTCGGGGGTCGCCTAGGAATGCTCCAAATATATATAATAGGAGGAGCTAATCCCGGGAAGGGATGAATCCAACACTCGGGGGTCGCCTAGGAATGCTCCAAATATATAATAGGAGGAGCTAATCCCGGGAAGGGATGAATCCAACACTCGGGGGTCGCCTAGGAATGCTCCAAATATATAATAGGAGGAGCTAATCCCGGGAAGGGATGAATCCAACACTCGGGGGTCACCTAGGAATGCTCCAAATATATAATAGGAGGAGCTAATCCCGGGAAGGGATGAATCCAACACTCGGGGGTCACCTAGGAATGCTCCCAATATATAATAGGAGGAGCTAATCCCGGGAAGGGATGAATCCAACACTCGGGGGTCGCCTAGGAATGCTCCAAATATATAATAGGAGGAGCTAATCCCGGGAAGGGATGAATCCAACACTCGGGGGTCGCCTAGGAATGCTCCAAATATATAATAGGAGGAGCTAATCCCGGGAAGGGATGAATCCAACACTCGGGGGTCGCCTAGGAATGCTCCAAATATATAATAGGAGGAGCTAATCCCGGGAAGGGATGAATCCAACACTCGGGGGTCACCTAGGAATGCTCCAAATATATAATAGGAGGAGCTAATCCCGGGAAGGGATGAATCCAACACTCGGGGGTCGCCTAGGAATGCTCCAAATATATAATAGGAGGAGCTAATCCCGGGAAGGGATGAATCCAACACTCGGGGGTCGCCTAGGAATGCTCCAAATATATAATAGGAGGAGCTAATCCCGGGAAGGGATGAATCCAACACTCGGGGGTCGCCTAGGAATGCTCCAAATATATAATAGGAGGAGCTAATCCCGGGAAGGGATGAATCCAACACTCGGGGGTCGCCTAGGAATGCTCCAAATATATAATAGGAGGAGCTAATCCCGGGAAGGGATGAATCCAACACTCGGGGGTCGCCTAGGAATGCTCCCAATATATAATAGGAGGAGCTAATCCCGGGAAGGGATGAATCCAACACTCGGGGGTCGCCTAGGAATGCTCAAAAATATATAATAGGAGGAGCTAATCCCGGGAAGGGATGAATCCAACACTCGGGGGTCGCCTAGGAATGCTCCAAATATATAATAGGAGGAGCTAATCCCGGGAAGGGATGAATCCAACACTCGGGGGTCACCTAGGAATGCTCCCAATATATAATAGGAGGAGCTAATCCCGGGAAGGGATGAATCCAACTCTCGGGGGTCACCTAGGAATGCTCCAAATATATAATAGGAGGAGCTAATCCCGGGAAGGGATGAATCCAACACTCGGGGGTCACCTAGGAATGCTCCAAATATATAATAGGAGGAGCTAATCCCGGGAAGGGATGAATCCAACACTCGGGGGTCACCTAGGAATGCTCCCAATATATAATAGGAGGAGCTAATCCCGGGAAGGGATGAATCCAACTCTCGGGGGTCACCTAGGAATGCTCCAAATATATAATAGGAGGAGCTAATCCCGGGAAGGGATGAATCCAACACTCGGGGGTCACCTAGCAATGCTCCAAATATATAATAGGAGGAGCTAATCCAGGGAAGGGATGAATCCAACACTCGGGGGTCGCCTAGGAATGCTCCAAATATATAATAGGAGGAGCTAATCCCGGGAAGGGATGAATCCAACACTCGGGGGTCACCTAGGAATGCTCCCAATATATAATAGGAGGAGCTAATCCAGGGAAGGGATGAATCCAACACTCGGGGGTCAGATCAGGAGAGCAGGTGGGAATATCTATTAGCCAAGCCGGGGTCAGATCAGGAGTCAGGCAGAGAAGACAGGTCCAGGAACAAACAAAATCGGTAACAGCAGATAACAGTAGCAAGGGAACATGGACAACAATACTGGGGAGCCAGAGATCATCCAGCAATGTGAGGGAGTGATGGGCCTCCTTATAAAGGCCATCTGGCGCTAAACTTGGCTAATGCCAGATCCTTTGGTTACTCTGACTACCTGTTACGGACTCAGCTTGCCCCAGGATGTCCCTTGGTGACCTCGGCTCTTTGAAGAATCTTGTTTCCATTGATCTACTATGTTTGACCTTGGCCTGTCTCCAGACATCTCCCTCATCCATATCCTATTTCTCTCCTGTGCATGACCTCGACTTGGCCTTTGACCTTGACACCACTACCTTCCAGACCTTCCCTACGGGTCTTGCTCGGCAT